GGTCTCCTGTAGTTCGTGAGTACTTCCAGGCCTCTCCAAACTGACGAGGGGTCGTTGGCTGAAAACTTTTTCTCCAGCTTTTCAGTGTAGCTCCTCTTAGCTACCCTGATCTCCCTCGTCAATGTGTTTCTGGCCTGGTTGTAAAGGATCCTGTCGCCACCTCTGTAGGCCTCCTCCTTGGCCCGACGAAGCTGCCTGAGTTTCTCAGTGAACCAGGGTTTATGCTCAAGAGATGACTCAGACATCCAGGGAACCATGATTCATGGATATTTTCTCATGATTCTTGAGGCCTTGCTGCCGTCACATTTTCTGAAAAACATGTTTTGTCTGTTAAGGCAGATGAAGTTCTTGTTTGTGCTGTTTATAGAGTGTATCTTTCTCCTAACCCTTCCCCTCCTTTATTCCTCCCTGGACTCTCTCTGTCTCTGTGCTGTGTGTTAATGTAGTGAAGTGGCCCATCGGTCAATGAGCTTGTATTAACACCTGACTCCCAGCCCTAGCTGCTGCGTTTCTTTCTTTATGTGGGGTCCCCTGGGCCCTCCCCCAGGCAGAGTCAACATATCCCTCGATCAATAACAGCATCCTAGAATGCTGCTGGAGGAGGGGAAGGAGAGGGGCAATCTTTTACATTGTCTTGTATAATTTTGCTATACTCCTTTTCATCCACCGTCCATTCCTTCTTTACTCAGCTGTCACAGCTGTCAGCTAACAGGGAGCATAGGTCACCAGTCGATCACTCGGGTCTTTTATGGCCTCGTCTTGTCATTCACTTCACAGTTTTTTCAACAGTGAGTTTTCTATGGATCTTACCTGAATATTTAGGTTTTCCAATATTGACTTTAAGCTTGCAGGGTGCACTCAATTCTCCCATGCATTAGCTACTCCTTCCTTTCTCTACATTCTCGCCTCTCTGTTTCGATCTTACACTCACTCAATCACTCAGTCTTGCACCCTGGCTTACACTCTTGGTCTGATGTTGGATAGTGCTGGAGTGCATTTAGGAATTATCTGTGGTCTACCCACCATGGATCAGCTTCAAACACAATATAATCTGCCACCGTGTTTGTATCGACTCCTTCTCATCTCTCTTTTCTCTCTCTCTGCCTCTCCCAAACCCCCCCCCCCCCCCTCCCTCCCTCCCCCCTATGCTCTCTAGGCTCTGGCCATGACCGAGGTGAACGGGCCAAGCATCCAGGTGGCAGAGCCGCAGATTGCCATGTACTGCGGCCGTCAGCTCCTGCACATGAACCTACAGACTGGCCAGTGGGAGCCGGATCCTCAGGGACACCAAGGCTGCGTCAAAGAGCCCGGAGAAATCCTTTCCTACTGTCAGGAGGTAGGGTTCTGAACCTTGCAAGGGAAACCACATTCTTGTACAACTGTAAAGAACGCCAGCCCGGATTAATACGTCCAACAGCAGATCTCCCTTAGTGGCAAAGAGCTGGTTTTGAAAGAATGCAGCATGAAATCAACACTGTAGAAGACTTCAAGTGAAACAATGTATTCTTATTCTCTAATTCGGTTTGTCTAACACCTGTCCCATAAATCTATATATTTAACCATATATAGTGAAGTGATGGTGGCCTGTTGGAATATTACAATATTTCATTTGTAGCACCATCTACTTTTCCTCATCTTGTTACCTGATATGTGTACTCTTTAACATCTACTGTCGGGGTAATCAATGGTAAACATACTCTCCGCAAACTCCTCCTTCAGAAATATGTATTTGAAGTGCCACAGTAAAGGCAACCAAGCGCCATCTGGAGGTTAAAAAAGGCGTTGCTGCAACAGAGAGCAGCAGCCACGAAACTGAATGGACTGTAATGCGATTAGCAGACACATTGTGCATCTGTGGTGGCTTTTACACAAAAGCCTCCCTGTTTTTCATGACATTTGTTATGAAAGCATGTGTGTGTGCATTCAGACTATTAAAGCTCATTATGAGTTTGATATATTGTGCCCAATTTTAAGTGAAAGTAGTCAAATGCTAAATTGGAAATAATGAAAGACAAGATATTTACTGAAATGTTCAGTGAATATATGTGTATGGTGGCTTCAGACAAAGTTCGTACACAGCTTTGTATAAGTAGTTCGAGAATATGTTGCATGACTCCCTCCCTTGTTAGTCTTCTTCCCACTGACTGTGCTCTCCCTCTTCTTCTCCCCGGATCCTGCTACTTTTATTCTACCTCTCCCAACCAATTCCCAAACCTGTTCTCTAACCGATTTTCCCTCCACTGCTCCTCTTGTCTTCAAACCGTCTGTTCTGTCCATCCATCTATCTGTTTCTGTCTCATGTTGTCTCTGCATGCACCTGTACGTCCAGATGTACCCAGCACTTCCAATCTCCCATATAGAGGAGTCAAAAAGACCTGTCACCATCCCCGCCTGGTGTAAGAAAGGTTGGGGCCACTGCCAGACACACCCCTTCATAGTCCTGCCCTACCGCTGTCTAGGTAAGAACAACACCGCACTGCCATTAGATAATTACACTACAAAGAATATATAGGATTAAATGTCCTCCTTTATATTTCACGACTGACTGTGTGCTTGAGGTCATGCCATCTGTATCATACTTTTTTATAATTGTTTTTAACAAAGGCCTACAACCAAATTCAAACCAGCAACATTATGTGTTGTTAAGACCAACAGGACACCCATATTGAACATTTTGGGAAAAAGGCAGATTTGCTTTCTTGCAGAGAGTCAGATCTGTCTTTTTAATATGAATACAGCTGGTTAGCTTAGCATAAAGACTGGAACAAGCTAGCCTGGCTCCGTCCAAAGATAACATAATCCAAATGTAAATATGACAAATGGCCATCTTTAAACAACGGTATTTGTAAAAAATTAAACAAATAGTAACATGTCACATTTCTATTATTTAGTGATATTGGTCTTCTTATCTAACTCTGGAGAAGAAAGCCAATGAGCGTATTTTCCCAAGATCTTGAGCTGTTCCTTCCCTTGTTTTATTGCACAAGATAGGATAGGCCAGGCCACACATTTACTTTTGAAATATTTGGGGTTAACAACACATCCTTTTCAGATGTAGGGGATTCCTCAAAAACACAACACAGTCTCAATACACTACAAGATCTGACGCATTATGTCTCAATGGGACCCACAATACAACAGCATGCAGTATGTGGAATACAATAAAGAGCGACACAAACAATGATTCATTGTCAAATCAGAAAAAATACATGAATTTGATCATGTCAATGCAACTAATGTGAAAGCCAACAAGCCAACATATGACTTAACATTGATTTAAATCAAAATCCGTTTGCATCTCCCCCAGTGCCAGAGCTTAATGATTGTCTTACTATTACAACACTATATAGGCAGTGATACAAAGCAGGATGTGCAGTTCAATATTATTGCAGAGAGGCCATGTCTGCTGTCAGCCACTAGAGGGGCAGATAGGCTAACAATGGATGAGTGAGTGAATGAGTGAGTAACGAACAGTGAGTCACCTTAGATTCTTATGAACAGCACGGTAGAACTGGCTCTAGTTTGTTTGATTTCTACTGTGCTGCCTGTTGTATCAGTGAACATTTCCCTTCATGTGTAAGCCCGAAAGACCAGCATGTCATACTCGTGCCATGTGAACACGTTTTAAATAGAATGCATAGACTATAAAACCTATTTTTCATTTCTATATGGTTTATTGTATGAAACAAAGCAGTCATCTACATTGATGTTCTTTATAATACCATGTTTTATATTTACTTCATGGACTTGCTACTGTAGCTCCAGTCCGTCTTCTCAAAATGCTGATACATTACACATTAATCAGTTCCTAATTTATGCACCCCACATACAGTACATTAAAAGTACTCCCACTGCTTGAAATCGTCTTACACTGACCTAAACCTTTCTTCAATCCTACAGTAGAGGGCGAGTATGTGAGCGAGACCCTGCTGGTGCCCGACCGATGCCGTTTCCTCCACCAGGAGGAGATGGATGCATGCGAGAATTACGTGTACTGGCACAACATCGCTAAGGAGGTGAGGAGGGTAGATAAACAGTTGGCAGATGTGATATTTTTAGATGTTTAAAATTGTGGAATGAAGACCTATGAATTAGGAAAATATACATTTTCAAGCCCTGTTAAAGCATGAAGGAGATTTTCCACCGGGGCAATTTCAAGTACACAATGAACTTTCCAGTGCCGATAACAAACCTCCTCTGCAGCCAACCCTAACAGCAATAGCAGACTACAAGTCGGCACAGTTGTGTGTTGTGTATCACGTCACACTTTATCAGTACACCTACTTGAGGTGTTTTTTTTAAAGAGCAGAATGGTGGCAGAGTTCAAGCTGTAATACTCCCTCATATCACCTCCTCTCAACTTGTTATATTTTCAAAAATGAAACTCAGAATTCTGTATCGTTAACTTTTATCATCATTATATTCCAACCTCATACATTGTGTTTTTAATCTTTGCGTATTTAAGGAATGCACTGCAGACAATTTGGAGCTCCATAGCTACGGGATGCTGTTGCCATGTGGAGACCATTTCCGGGGGGTCGAGTATGTGTGCTGCCCAGGCCGAGGGACTTCCAGCGGTAAAGGAGAGACGGAGGAAAGAGACGTCCCTGCTGGTCCTCAGACATCTCACACCAGTGGAAAACTCAACTCTGTGTAAGATGATTCAGCTTGGCAACTCAGAGTTGTGAAAGGATGAGAGATTGCATGGTAATGGTCATCAGAGTAATGACTATCCACTTCTCCACAGCACCAAAGTGATAGCCCCCACTCCGAACCCGTCTCCTGACACAGATGTGGACGAGGACGATATGGAAGAGGAGGATGATGAAGTGGTGGAGGAGGAGGAGGAGGAGGAGGAGGAGGAGGAGGAGGAGGAAGAGGAAGTTGACGAAGAGGAGGCGGAAGAAGAAGAGGAAGAGGAGGTAATAGCTGTGAAAGATCCAGAGGAGTATGAATACCCCATTGACTCAGGTCCATACCAGACATCAGACTATCTGGACTCCTTCTACTATGAGAAAAGCCACAAACCCACCACCTCTGCACCTCTGATGAAGGGCGACAGCTGTGAGTGTCCCTAATTTGTTTCTCAATCTAACAATACATGGGAGCTGTATTCACTGCTTTATTCATTTTCAGTTTAGCCTCTCATCAGTCTATACTGACCACTGACCTCACGACATGTCATCATGTGTGTAATGTAGATCTGATAAATAAAACACACTTCTACACCCACAGCAACCTCCAGAGATCAGCAGGGTTCATGCTAGTGTGCACAGTAAATGAAGAAGTTGACCACTATGCACATGAAAAGAGAGAAAGAAAAGCCACAGCCAGTCGGTTTTGAGTCGGGCATGTTATGGGGTTGTCAGAGGTTTATTAACCCTCGCCCTTTCTGTTAAAGTCAGAAAGTACATATACTAACTTAATACATTTAACACTTCTGCATTAACATTTTGATATTTACTCATCCAGTGTTTCTTTACCTATAACTTGTAATCGAACATAACATTTATTTCAATTAAAACAAGTGGAATTTGTTTCCAGGCCTCCCAGCAACTTTCAAATTTCAAATTCTCAAAGCAAATGCCAATTTCCTTCATCACAAAAATAAGATGAATTATTTGTAATGATTTCATCACTTTTTCAAGAGTCTTTTCTCCAATACTTAGGATTAGCTGAAAGCCAGAAAAATCATTGTAACGTGTAATTGTGTGTGTTGCACAAAGGGATGTATATTTCCCTGGTCCTCTGCTGGGGTAATAAAAAATATTATTATCTTCAGTCAAAATTCAGAAAAAGCAGATGTAGTTTCCTATTGTTGCTCGTCTCAAATTGCAGCGTAAAATTGCCTTCACTCCCTCTTGCTATAATCTCAGTGAACACACTGTCACATTGTGACCAGGGCTTTTGATTACAGGATAATTGCTTTCTGGCTCTTGCAGTCTGCGTGACAGTAATAACCTCTGTTTTCTGTCCCTCCCATCTAGTGACTACACCGCGGCCCACAGATGGCGTTGATGTTTATTTTGAGAAGCCAGTGGATGACACTGAGCACGCCAACTTCCTGCGTGCCAAAACCGACCTGGAGGAGCGCAGAATGAAGCGCATCAATGAGGTGACTTTCACAGGGCTGAGACCAGGCTAATAGTTTGTTAGCTGGCAGGTCGGACTGTGACTCACTGTTCCATCGCTCTCATTTTCTAATCTAATTCTCAGAATGACATGTATTAAATGCATTTAGGGAAGCAGATAAAGAGAAGGATAACAGACATTTCACATCCTTTAAAAAGAGCTGGGCGTTATGACCTAAAATATATAGTGTGGACAGTGTACGTATATTCCCATGGATACTAAACCTCCACAACATTTTAATAGAATATGATTTAAATGTAGCAAAGGACAAGAAATAGTAACCATTTATTGACATTAGTTAAAAGTTATTATCAATAAACTATAAATATTCTTTGCAGTGGTTGTGGTGGAGGTAGAGTTTCACACTGCACATGATGGAAGTTAAGAGTGTATCTCACTGCTCATCGTACTATCTGTGTTTACATGTGTGCATCTTACACACGCACAAATGCTCACAATTTTAAGACAGCAGCTGTACAACTTCAAGATTGTCTATTTGATTTGTGGTTTTACCACAAATTCCGGCTTTCATCAGTGCAGCTAAGCACATCTAGCTCAACAGTTTAGATAAGCACTTGTCTTTGCAGATGCACAGTTACGATGTGCTAACTGTTCTTTCATGGCTACCCTTCTATGTAAAATAGGATAACGTAGTAAGTCAGACATTGATGTCTGCATCATGGTTTTCTTTTTACTCCCAAATTCCTTGTAACTGCTTTCATTCTTTTTAGGCGAGAAAATGTTGTTGTCTTGTCTTGTCGCTGATGTTATAGATGTTATAGATATGTAACATGCTATATCTTATGAGTTGTATGAGAGAGAGTGGTATCAATCTTCTTATCTAATTCTCAGCAAGACAGTGAATGACTGTATTTCCCAAAGTGTCGAACTATTCTTTTCAAGCCAGACATCCAAGTTTTTAAAACCAAACCTTGTCAAACTGTGAATGAAGATCAGTGACATAGCGTTAACATGTGGACCAGTCAACAAGTAATTTATGTAATGTGACTTCAACACATTCTATTGCGAAACAAAAGCTACAGACAAATTCATATTATGTTGCAGGCCTCTGTCAGTGTGCTGTTTATTCAGGTTGTACCCTATGTCATAACTATAGTGTATGTGATACTTTTCTAGAAATAAACCGAGATTGTGTCTCTTCAATTCCTCAGATCATGAAGGAATGGGCAGAGGCAGACAACCAGTCAAAGAATCTGCCAAAGTCAGAGCGACAGGCACTGAATGAGGTTTGTTCACTTGCTTTATTCTATAGTTTAACTTATCCTGTGGCCATGTAGCTCTAGCTTTACTCATGCTTGCATCTACTCGCTCATCTTTCTGCTACCAGCACTTCCAGTCTGTGCTGCAAACGCTGGAGGAACAGGTCGCTGGAGAGAGACAGAGGCTGGTCGAGACACATCTTGCCAGAGTGGAGGCCATACTTAACAACAACCGCCGCCTGGCCCTGGAGAACTACCTCACTGCCGTGCAGTCTGATCCCCCTCAGGTCGGTCTAAGATCTGCTTGAGATTCTCTCTCTGTGGTGCACTTATCTCACTGTCTGGCATTTCCTGACTCTGTCCTCCCTTCAACTCTGTCTTCCAGCCAGAGCGCGTGCTGCAGGCTCTGAAGCGATACATGGCTGCAGAGCAGAAGGACCGCAGGCACACTCTCAGGCATTACCAGCACATTGTGGCTGTTGACCCCCAGAAGGCTGAGCAGATGAAATTCCAGGTGTGTGTGTGTGTGTGTGTGTGTGTGTGTGTGTGTGTGTGTGTGTAGGTGTGTGTGTGAGGTACTCTCTTCCAAGAGGCTTTTCGCAGACACCTGTGCTTTTGAGATGCAAGACTCCTTTTTGCTGACCTTGTAACGAACAGAACATTGTGTGCTGAAGAGTTAGTATGTGTCACAGATTAGTTAATAAATCCTGAACTCACAGAGGTAAACCAGCCACCAATGTTCTTTTCATTAAACTTAGATCAAAGCCAGTCTTTGCTGACTTCAAACACAGCTTTAGACACATGACTCCATAGAAAGTGTATCTGGGCTTTTTCATTCAAGGAAGCAGTTCACTGCTTTTCTTTTCACAGCTAAGACCAGTTGAGAACACTGGCTCGTTCGTGCTTTGTTAGCCCTTGCTTATGTAAAAAGCTGATGTTTTTTTTGATTTTGATATTTTTCAGGTGTACACACATCTCCATGTAATTGAGGAGAGGATGAACCAGAGTCTTGCACTGCTCTACAAGGATCCTACCTTGGCTGAGGAGCTGCACAATGATATCCGTAAGCTAAACTACACTTTTGACCTGTTTTCAAATCCAGAAGACCGCTGTGTGTGAACTCTGTGGTATTTTTTGCAGTAATTCATGTTGTAACATGTCTGTCTTGATTACTTTTTTTCTGTCTGTGTCACCTGTAGAGGAGCTGGTCAAGGCAGAAAGAGGAGACATCAGTGAGCTCATGACCACCTCCTTCTCCGAGACCCACACTACTGAGGAGCTTCTGCCTGCTGAGAGCGAGGAGGAAAAGGATGATGAGGAGGAAGAGGAGCGAGCCTTCCAGAACAGGCCTTATCCTCCCCGCATCGGTATGTACATACATCACATACTCCTCATACACACCTAGTGGTGTATGTGGCATGTAAAAACTTCTCACAGGCTGCTGTCTTTAAAGATGCTTTTCCTCCTCTTTTTTCTCGAAAGAACTGCAGTCTAATAAGAAAGGTAAGCTGGTATTCAGTGTCACTAAAGCATGTTTTTTTTTTTACTGTTTGCAATGATTGCAGTGTACTTATTACTGTTGCTCCAAGCTAAATGTTTTATTCCATTTTTATTCCTGTCATTCTTAGTGCCTGCAGTTGATGAATATGATTATACCACTTCTGAAAGAGGCCCTACTTATGAATATGAGGAAAAGGTAAGATGATGATCATTTTGACCAATTTAAAAAGCTGGTGATACTTCAAATAGATAAATGTGTATGTATTCATCTTTTCAATGTTTCTGTGTCCCAATATTTCCCTTTTTCTGACACATTCCCTGTCGTCTTAGATCAACACCTCTGTGGAACTCAAGCAGGTAGTCAACAAGCCTCCTGAGATCGAGAGAGATGAACTGGTAAGGGCATAATAATACATAACCCTTATAATGTTTTTGTTGAAAAATGACTGAAGAAATTAGCAGGAATTAAAATTAAAATGACCTATGTTCCTATTTGTCTCCCTTGTTTAATGTCTAAGTGCACATTTCTTTCTTTCCACAGCAACCCGATGCCTTGGAGACGTTTAACCGTGGCGCCATGGTGGGGTTGCTTGTCGTTGCTGTGGCGATTGCTATGGTGATGGTAATCAGCCTGCTGCTGGTGCGCAGGAAGCCATACGGCACAATCAGTCATGGCATCGTAGAGGTACGATCCCAGATAGGCCTTTAAATGAAACCAAAAGCAGTCTTAAAGGACCCCATCTAAAAGCTGTGTGTACATTAACTTTTTGCCGACAACGCTGTCTAAAGTATACCAAAAGTTTTTAGATTTCAGAGTATCCATTGGCTTCCATTTATTTCATATTGTGGTAAATATGTAACCCAGTGGCTGCTTGGAGAGATGGGTATCAGTCTACAAGACTTCTTTCTGCTAAATCATGTAAAAAGCAGTGGTATGATCTTTTAGGTTAAAGGATTAGCTTTACATTTTTGGAAATATGTTTCTTCGCTTTCTTTGCAAGAGGTGGATATTAGGATTAATACCACTCTCACATCTACACGGTAAATATGAGTAGTTTAGCATAAAGACTGGAAAAAGTGGGAGACAGCTTGCCTGGTTCTGTCCAAATGGCAAAGTGTTTATTCGTGAGATTTAGAAGTGCCACTCAGCAGATTTGTTTTACATGTGGAGAGAGCCACGCTAGGTTTTTCCCCATGTTTCCAGTTTTTATGTTAAGCTAACCAGCTGTTTGCTACAGCTACATACTTACTTAACAGAGTGGTATAACTCTTGGCAAGAAAACAAAAAAAGAATATTTCGCAAAATGCCGAACCTTCCATTGAGAGGTAGTTGGCGATTAAATACTGTACAGAAGAAGTGCCCCAAGCCTGGAAGCCAAGGTAGATCGTTTTGAAGCCTCCCCACACACCTCAGCAGTCATCCTGCTCCACTATTCCCATTTAATACAGCACATTACATTACATTCCATATTTGATAGACAATTTATTCACAGTTGCCGATGTGGTCCTTGCTCAGGAATTTGTCTTTAGTGTGTAATAATTGGAGCTTTTGTGTGTCTCGCAGCAGGTCGACCCCATGCTGACACCAGAAGAACGACAGCTCAACAAAATGCAAAACCATGGCTATGAAAACCCTACCTACAAATTCTTTGAACAGATGAACTGAGGTACTGGGGCTGCTAACAAGTCATGCCTGACCACTTGTTTTGTCCCCCCCACACACCCACACTCCTTCCTTACAGTGGTAAAAGCTAAAAGCTACACTCCCTTTGACGGATTTATGATGTGTTGCAACATAAAGTAAATGAATAAGTAAGAGGTACGTCCCAAACCCATTGTAAATGACCAACAACATCATTACCAGAATGTGAATAATGAGATATGATACAAACTCACATCACCTATTGTAATCTAGTACTCCTCTGGGTTAGAGTCTGAGGATTGTTCTTTCCATTAGCAGCGCCACAGCATTTCATGATCCTGAAAACATTCACCTCACAGACAGGAAAACCATCCCCGTGGCATGACTTGACCTATTGCTCCTCACTAGAAACTGAAGTTGAACGGTGCGTAATGCTTTATAGTATTTTTCAGTAGTCGTCTCTTTCGTTCAAATTGTACCACAGTTAGATATAATGTATCTGTGTAGATGAGTGCGAGTGAAAGCCTAGTTAAATTTTGGTCTGATTCTCAATTTGAAACCCACTCAGTGACACAAGGGCAATTAGTAAGCTAATTGTCAAAACTATCCTTGCCGCCATTAGCTACTGTAACATTGGAAAATACCTCTAATATTTAGACATGAACATTAGGTGAGGATGTGGAGGTGTTTACCTTGAATGTGTGAGACATTTAGGCTTTACTTTTACAATATAGAAGGCCAAAAAGACCATGATACAGAGCTATGTGCTGGTTGTACAAATAAACATTGTGTTTCTAAATTCTGAGGGTCTGCCCTCGATATTTGTATTCATTATTTGGCCAAATATAGTCAGTGAATGAGTTTATTTTATTTGTACTGCTACCTAAAGAAATGTAAACTGAATAATCAAAAGTCCGTTATTTTAATGAAAGCATGACAACTTGGTGTATGATACTGCTTTATTTATTTGTGTTGTTCCTGTCATTGCTTTTGAAAAGTCGGAAATGTCAGCGTTCAAAATTGACACTGTAAATAACGTATGAAATACATACTACTAGGTGTAGACATTTCTATGATTAATTTGCATCGATGTAATGGAATAATACTTAAAAAATAGTAAATTGTGCTGTCGCGAGAAGGAGAAACATTTTCCTAACATGGCTGATTGAAAACGGACTGTTGTAAAAACCAGCACAAGACAACGATAAAGTAACTTCTTTCTGAATGTATTTAAGGTAGACGTTGAGATTCCATCTTCTTTTCAGTAATGCATCATTCCCCTAGTAGACCTTCATAGGAGTAGTGAAGTTCAACACATCCAACAGACTACATGCCTGATGCCCTTCTTATCACTTCCTGTAGTAGCCTGTTCCTTTTTTACATTTGGCAGGTGTGCTTCAATGTTCTTTTACAGTTCAGAGCAGCAGAGTTTAAAGAGGCCACAGCTAAAGTAGTGTGCCAGTGTGTATAGTGAGTCCTAAAAACAGACCACACTCAGGCATGATAGCAGTTAAATATGCTGTATGTCTCTGAATCTCCCCGTTTGACCAATTTGGACTCAACAACAACGAATGTTAGCACTCTATAGTTGCTATATTTAAGTTACTCTCTTCTGAAATAGCTTTTCACTGAATGACTCATTGTAGTTTGTCATATTTAGGATCAACACAGTACCCCGTAGCTATAGGTAACCAGGGACTGTCCCTTTTTTTTTCTGGCTGATTGTTAAGTGATTAGTGTGTCAGGTTGAATTTCCTGAAGCCACTTTATTCCATCAGACCATCTAGGTAAAGGAAGGTCACGTTGTGGGATGTTGCTTTTTGTACATCAGTCTTTAACTATATGTTATAGTAGAGATAATACACACCAAAATCCATTCTTAATGTATTTATTTGTTACTGGTGGAAGTTTTTATTTTTTTTTTATTAACCTGCATTTGTCCATTCAGAGGAAGAGTTGTTTACTTATGTGTTGTGTTTTTTTGTGTATAGTTAGCTTTGTAATAAGCATAAAGAGTTTGACTATCAGAGGTATGATTTAGCATTAATCTTCAGTTCCTCTCGTTAGGCAGGTTAATTGCAGGTTGCGGTTGTGTTATGACAGGTGAAGAGAAGTCATAGCCCTTGTATAATTTGTACAGCTACGTTAGTGAATGAAAACGTTGTATGTTCACAGTTTAAGTCAGTTGATCTTGTAATGATACTACTGAAACCATAGATGAGAATAAGCTTGCCTGTGTTTCCCAAACCACTTAAGGTTTCTTACCAGCATTTAGCAGACTTAGAATGGTGTATACTGTAGTTACTCAAATCACATTTGTACGTACGTCCTCTGTCAAATTCTAGACTTCTTTGTTGGTCTGTCCCCTTACTTCCCAACAAAACATAAACGTTATTGAGATTTTAATTGCTGCATTATTGCCTTTTACAATGCTGTGTTTTGGATGTAATTATTCTGTATTTTTTATTTCTATGTAATAATCAGTTGGATCAAGGGTCATGCTTTTCACATGTAATGTAAATTAAAGAAGCTTGTATGAGAAAACATTGACAAGTTCATAACGTTCAGATGTAAAATATAGACGGATATATGGCCTCTGCCTAATTGACAAGGAGTGCCACTAAGCACAAGTAGAACCAAATTACTCAATTTGTGTACAGGTTGCTAAATGTTAGACATTGATTCTGTCTGATTTCGATTATACCGCATTGGTTCTAGGGATGTTGATAGCAATATCAATGTGAGAGCTGTTCTTCATTTTCATTCAGACCTTTAACCAAAGACATGCTCCACAAATAAGCAGACAGATATTCCAATTTGGCAAAATGTTCTCTGTTGTGTAACTGTATTTGCAAGCAATCTGAGGAATTAAAACTGGTCAAGCTAATCAATAGTGTAATAAAAAATGAATGACCCATAAAATACCGTGTCTGTGTTTATTGAAGTACTCCTTTACGTGAATGTTTCTCTCTCTAAGACGTCTGACACCATTCAATAAGGAAACTTAATTCAGTCATCCATCTCACAGAGGCAACATGCAGGAGATTGAAAATTGATCATGATGAAGCCTGTGATGTAAAAGCCACAATGAGGGGGGGGAAACTGTCTGACTAACTCATACTGGGAAATTATGTTTTTCTTCTCTTGAATCTCCTCAGTTGTATTCTTTGGAAAAGGAAACCTAAGTACATTTAGAAGACAGTTGTTTTTTGTTATATTACAGTAAAAATTGCAAATGGTTTCAAGACTGAATGCCCAAATAAGTTTACCACAATGCACAAAGTGTGATTCGACAGCAATATTGATGTTAAAGTCTGAAATTCAACTCCTGCTTGTTCATGTGTTAGACATTGGCATGATACAATATATTTGATATTAACATTTTCTACAAGATAAAATCTTAACCAAGATTAGGATTAGTTGTAAAATAAGATTTCCTCTCATTTGTCAGTATGGAGTTTCAGTGACTCCTTTCAGTGTCATTTTCTGTGAGGCCAAAACTGCAGTTCACTTCCTGTCAGGAGAAGCTACTTGTGATGCATATCACCTCATTACCCTCAAAAAAAATGAAGAAACTAAATATATCTTTGATGAATTCCGTTTGAATGCCCATATTCAGATGTGTATATAAGAGCACCAAGGCTAAAACAGAGTTCTAAAATCAATGGTACTGTACAAAGAAAACCGACCAACACAAGAGAAGTACAGTTGCCTGATAATATCCAAATCATGGTAACATTGTTAGTAACTGATGAGTATTTTCCTTTGAACTTAGTGCGATGAGTAAAGATGCACTGTATCTGTGGGGGTTCAATTCATTTCACTTCAAAGCAAATGATTGCTTTAATCAAATCATAATCCTTTACTTTATGCTGTAATAAGCATCAATAAACATCAGACCCTCTGTAAAAGCACCGATTAGATGCCTTCAGACAGTTCCCAAGCACCAATTCACCTTACACTGTCTCAAGCGTGGGTAGGTTAGGCCTCACACTTCCTTCACCCACAAATTACAAAGAAGCATCAAGCCCCAGCCCTGCACAAGTTCACTTCTTCCAAACCACAACATTGCCGGGTAGTCCTGCTTACCCAGATTACTGTGAAAAGGCTCTGTGGCTGTACAGTGACAGTTTGTCATTGATGCCTCCAGTGCACATCAGTCATCTCGGTAGAGGTTCCTCTGAAGTCGCCTGCTCATATAACGCCAGTGTGGTAATGTATGACGACTCATATTAACCCTGACTTTTATCACATTGCAGTGTGTGTGTGCGTTTTGTTTAGTTCAGTAACGCTTTGATTCATTCAACAAAACAATACGAAACCCTTTCATATGAAGAGATTCAAAAGCTTGGTAGGTAGATCAAAGGTGAGTTTTCATCAAGTAAGCTACTTGATAAATTAAAAAATAAATATCATTAACATCATGTGACATGTGTGGGTGCTGAGGGACACGCTAACACAGAATGTGCATAGATGAGCATTTACCTCAAATACCCCACACAGTAAGACACCTCAGTGAGTCAGCATTGAGGCTGGGTCTGATGGTGATTGTTAAACTGACAGTGAGGGGACAACAGGTGCTAAGGAATATGGTGTGGGGGGCTGACAGTCATGATATTACTGGAAGGTGAAGCCCTTTGCATCAGCTCGAGGTTACCATATAGCGCAAGATGACATTTAACAGTTGGTATAATGCTAATTTCTCTGAGAGGAATAGATGAGATCAGACTGTCCAGCGGTTTGAGTAATGCTTGACATTAACTGTTCTCACAAAGGTATGCACAATAGCACCCCTCCCCCATCCCCCGCCCCCGCCCCCACAACAAATGTCAGCATATACTTACAGTGTGGCACGTACACACACAGATTATTATCATGGATGGTCAGTAATTTATAGCTGTTGAAAAAAGCACATCCACTGACAATTATATAAGACCTTCGGAGGATATCTAAAAAAAAAGAAAAGAACTGTCACTGTTGAGTGTCACATAAAATGAACATGTCAAGCTGTGATCACAGCAACTACAAGGAAACTACCTTATGTTTAACACTACACACACGTCCTTTGACGACCTAGGTGACACGTATAAAGCATGCTATATGTGCTTAGATGCTACATATTAGTAATTTAGTTATCTACAGTTAATGAAAGACTCAACTAAGGGTGATCTTCGCATCTGCTCAGGATGAAAGATATGTTCCTATTTGTTCAATTGTGTAAGGTTTATTATGCAAGGAAATTCCAAAACTTGTATTCAGTATACTCGTGACATAGAAAAATCACAACATGGGAAAAATGGAGGGCAACATACCAAATCTAATTTAGAAATGTACCTTTTTTTTCATATGTTTACATATGTTTCATACATATGGTAAGACCAAAACTAAAATGGTTACTGTAACATTAGCCTCAAATTTTAAGATCTTAACAAGAGGCTGCGCGGTGGTGTAGTGGCTAGCACTGTCACCTCACAGACAGTGGGGCTGGGTTCAGTCCCCTCTGTGTGGACTTTGCATGTTCTCCACAGATCAGCGTGGGTTCCCTCAGGGTTCTCCAGCTTCCTCACACAGTCCAAAGACATGCAGCTCAGGTTAATTGATGACTCGAAAAATTGCCCGTTGGTGTGAATGTGAGCGGGAATGGTTGTTTGTCTGTATGTGTCAGCCCTGCAATAGTCTGGCGACCTGTCCGGGGTGTACCAGGCCTTTGCCCAATGTCAGCTGGGATGGGCTCCAGCACCTCCTCGAACCTGAAAAGGACAAGCTGTTATGGATAATGTTTAAGAGCTACAGACCATTTTTGAATTGGTGAATGAACATTATTCCATTAGCAAAAACATATTTGCCATAGAGAAAAGCCTTCAGTGCCGTTCTTTGCTCTTGTGAAATATGCAATGAAGAAATATTCCAGTTTTCTTTTAACCGATGCTATTGCAGCATCTATGCTAACCTCTTCAGGAGCTGCCATTGTTTAGAACCAACAGGCAGACAGGAGAAGTTTGCCTTCAGCTTTCTGCCAGAAAGGGTTTATTTAACCCAAAACATAATTTTTTCCATAAAACTAACCAAGTAGGTTTGTTGCCTAAACCTAGAGATTTCTGGCAGAAAGCCCTGAAACTTCTCCCATATGCAACAAGCAGTCGCCTCTCTGTGTTTTCTTCTACACACCTAAGCCACGTCCATAGATGCCAGTTGCTCCTCACAAGACGCTGATGGTGCTGGTCTGCTGGTCCAGGCACCGGACACAAACGCATTACTTGAAGCCTGACATGATGGAGTTTTGTGTGATATGTTATCCTGTGATTCTGACTTGGGCTTTGTTTTGCACCCATTGCTGATTTAAATCTACATTATATTTCTGAGCTTGTATCTGCAAATGCTATTCATTCTAACAGCTATGCTGATGACACTCTACTCTATATATTCTTTACCTAAATGATTGTGTTCTTTGAAGAACAAAACAGGCATAAAAAAGAATGTCTTGTCCCTGAATCAAGAAACAGATAAGAAACACATAATGCCTTATACTATACAAAGGTTCGATAATTGAGTGATTACTTAGATTGCGCCAAATATCAAACGACACAATTCAATTTCAACACTTTTAAAGTTTCAATAAATGTAAACAGGGACAGCTGGATTTTACAAATACAAATTGTATAAATATCCACATTATATATCAAATTCTATTATATAACAATAATTCTTGCATTTCAAATTGTAGTGCTTCAAACATTTGCATGGACATAATACACAGTTTTATGAATACTGCAGAGAACATTGAATAGGCTGCAATTCAAATCTAGCTTAACAATACTGCTTGATTATTAAGTATTTAATGGCCAAATAAATCTCTAAAGGCAAACAAAGAAGTCATAATGTACTCAACCATTGAGGTCTGCTAAACTGACCAGCTCTTTACAGTTGGCCTATTTTTACAGGTTTGTGCATCTGACAAATCGAAAGGACAAAGCACATATTTCTATTTCAGTGGCAAAGGTTTCAGAGAGGCCTCTAGCCCTGCATACCGGTACCACTGGGTTTTTGTATATATGTTTCCTGTCACAGATCAGTGTCTTTGAAGTGGTTTTTCTCTCAGCACAGAACAGCCTATTAATGTAGTGACCTGCAAGTGATGCAGGAGTGGAGGAAATCATGTACAGCATGTATAGTAGGTATACACCATAAGATAATAGGGCATGCAAATACCACTCTAACCACTGTCCTTGTTTCTCTGCCGCACACACAAAAATGCACATGCACACACACACACACACACACACACATAGAGCTAAATAATCAAATGAAACCAGAAAGTGTTTCTTTTGTTACTTCTGTTTAATGTGTGATTTGCATGTTGTCTACCCTGTGCAACAATTGAACATTATTAAATAGTAAAATTGTGTCCATGCTTTAAACTAAATAAAGAAAACAAAATAATGTAAATAACTGGATTACTTATAAATCCACCATCTTTAATCCCCAAAAACGAGCCATTTAGCACTATAATCAATGAACCAATGAGGGAAAGAGACAAGTTAAAGAGGAGGGACTGTAAAGACAAAGGAGGAAACCACCCCAGACAGACATGTCACTTTACGAGTCACTTCTCAGTCATGATGCGAGGTAGCTCGTCATTTTCCAGGGAGAATATTCACTAACTAAACACCGGGTAAGTGTCTCATTCACACAGCTTGGTGCTTCGTAAGTTTTCAAGACTTGAAACTACAAGAAGATACTTAAACACTGCTGCTGTTTGGTCTTTTCTGTGATCTACTGTTAACACAACCTAGTGTGCTGCGACTGATCTTCTGTTGCCTGTAGAGGATATAAGTAAAGGCTTCTCTCTTGTGATTCCAATCCTTTACATGCGAGCTTTGAGTAGGCTGGCTGCCAGTTCATGTCCTGTCAAAGGATGTGCAAATCTGACATATTCATGCAAGGTTTTCCCCCCATGTAAGCATTAAGACAGTACAGTGACTCCTTAAAGACCTGCTGTCACAACTCACTGCACTACAAAGTGCATTGTAAATTTGAACATCATCTGTGGGAATTTGTTTATTCCAAAAGGCAGTTTATTGCAAAATCAAATATATTTAACGATATAAAAGATTTAGACAAGGTTTGCAAGGATATGAAGCATAATGAATCAGGATACAATACAACAAAACAATGTATTTAATGGTCAGCAGCCTCAGGAGAGCTGCAATACTTCAACGCATAATTGAAAATTATAATGTCAGGTGCAACACACCGATGTGATGTGTGTGCAATATTTGAAAGTGCAATCTAACAAAACAAACAGTTGAAACTAAGTATAAGGATCGGTGCTCAACGCGCCACTGAAAGACAACTACATATCTGAGCTGGAAAGATTTGTGTATTACACAACACACAACTTTTAAAGTTTTTGCAAAATATCCTTGCGCATAAAATCCCATGCTGTTAACTCAAGTAGCTTTAGAGTTACTTATCATAAAATACATGTAGAACACCATAATAATCCACCTGGCAAATTACCACAACATTGATCCAATTACACCGCTATATTATAATAATAATAATTATTATTATTATTGTAAGGAATTTCATATTTATTAAAATTGCTACTGTACAAAATGCATGACTGCATATTGTACGGAGGAAATTTGAATTTGGCATAGATTAAAAAAATGCCAATTACTACATTTGAGTTATATTATGTAATATATAGACAATATATTACAACTCTGAGCAGACAGCGTATGACTTTTGACAGTCGTAAACGTTGCCGTGATAGAATGTTCTACTTTACATTTATGTACGCAGACGATACTGTAGGCTTCACTCAAATTATGAAGGCTTGATTTGCATGATCATTTTCCTACGCACTCTCAAGCAAAGCAAATGATGTAACTATAGTTGCTTTTTACATTTTTCATAAATGAACACGAAACTTAAACCTTAAGCATGTTGGCTGAGCATAATTAAATAATTCAGATATTATTTTAAATTACTGCTTTTTGTTGCTATGTTTTCCAATAAATTAAATAGACTCATTTGATTAAGAGCAGAGAGAGTGAGTTTTGGAGAGCGCGCAAAAAGATGCATACACATTTTTTTTTTTTATTCCAGTAACGAGATAACTAAATGTCATTTCGCTTCACATACTTTCCATTTACAGTCACCATCGGAGGACCTGCAATTGTGCAAAACTTGTGACCTCCCCTGCAGAAACCGACCACACACTGTATAATCATAAAAGTTCATTATAGACTTCAGACTGCGACGGCAACTTTTCAGGCATCCGGTAGTTTCAACACATAGCTACGATGTTTTCCTCCTTGTATTATCAATTTTAGGGCTAAATTCCAAATATTTCTGTCACATATTTACCTATTCAACCCCTGCTGAAGTTTATAGTATCAAAATACAGTCAACCAAATACAGTTATTGTTGTTGACACTCAAACTTCCCTCATGTTTGCTCGTGTGTACAGTCATTAGTCATGGTTTCATATACTGTTAGGGCTTTGTGGCTTTAGAGTGTGTATGTGAGCGCGGCATATCAAAGCTTTCACAAAACACAGTATATTTCCACACATCAACCAGACATTCAGACATAATTTTAGACACGGTTGTGATTGAGGAATATTTTCTCATAAAAGAAAGAGGGGGGGGGGGGTAATTTATGTAAAAATCCATAACCATTTTATTAACTATTCTGTAAATTGGTTGAAAATCAAATTCACTGTCACACCAACCTGTCGCAATATAAACAAATAATATTATCACCATGGGTACATTCTGCCCCCTCAATTCTCACTACATAGCCAAGGATGGAAAAGAAAAACTGTGCAAAACACAGATAAATTTGTTAATCACAAATCAATCCCTGCTGTTGATTTGCAAAATGATTTTCCTACTTACAATTTAGCATTTCTAGAAATGTCACATACCTGGTAACCACCTGGAAAATAGAATTAATTTAAGCAGTGTGGGCATAATCTGATGGCATCCCTCTGATTTTTTTTTTTTGTTCCTTCAACTTTTTCTTCTCAGATTTTTGAAAATATTTCTACAAACTTCAGAAATGGTCCGAATCAACAACACCGAATACTTCCACTTCCTGCAGCAGGCAGATGCCTTACGACGCTCAGGGTCACTCTGCGATGCCATCATCTCAGTAAAGAGTCAGACTTTCAGGGCTCATCGGCTAGTACTGGCTTGTGCTAGCAGAAGACTAGCGCAGCAGCTAGCCCAGGCAGACATAGACAGCCCAGTCCGCTGCACTCTGGAGTATTTCTCACCACGCACCTTCCAGCAAGTTCTGGACTTCACCTACACACAGACTCTTGATGTGTCTGTGGATGACCTGCACTTGCTGCTGAAAGCTGCTCAGCTGTTAGAGATGCAGCAGCTGGAGGACCAGTGCCGAAAACAGCTGGAAAATCTCAACTACAGAGCCAGAGAGGGTGGAAAAAGAAGAGAAATCACATGTGTCAAAAAAGAAGAGAACGAAAGTGCAAAGGAGAATGATCAAAAGCAAGAAGGGAGTCCAATTCAAGAGGAGAGAGTCCAAGTGACTTCTTCCCCAGTGGAGGAGGCAAGCGACTGCATTATCCTGGAAAACCTCTCACCCTCTGATTCTGCCAAGAACCCCAACAGCCCGCCATCCCCAAGAAAGATGCCCAAACTCTCCCCCGTGTCAGCAACGTCCTATAACAGAGACAGTGTGATCACCAGGCCTGCCGGCAGCAGCTCCTATTTCTCTTCCCCTTGGACTTTCCCTCCAAACATGTGGAGCTCCGTGACCACCCTGAGGCGGATAGCAGAGAACTATCCAAGCTTAATTGCAGCTCATCCCCTTCAGTCCCCAAACCAGCCCACTGTAGCGTACCCATTCTCCCTCTCCACCCCCCACATGTTCCCCTTACTCGGCTCTCATTTTCAAACCCCTGTTCAAAGCTCTATAATAGGTTCAGGCTTTTATCCACATTATACACAACACCGTTATGCTGGGTCTACAGGTATGGGGAGCATAATCAAGCAAGGCCTGTTGAAACGGAAAAAACCCAGCCAGAGAGCATTTACTGGGACCGTTCAAGCCAGTGAGCTGAGGTAAGTGAGCACTTGGACATGATTTTGGAAACTTCTGGCTTTTATTTTTAGTCATTGTCTCCCTATTCTCTCACAAAGTCATAGAATAATCCCCTAATTTGCTCAATTGTTCCCTTACGACAGCTACGGTACCTGACTCACTGCTGTTTCAAGCCTCCTGCACTTTCCAACTAGAGCAGTTTCACTAGTTAACCCTTCCCTGACAGTCCTAGTCAGTCAAACTATTCTTTTGACAAATCATAATCCCATGTTTCTGACCAATCCCAGCACAAAAGAGCAAAAGACACACAAGTTAACCTTCCAATAATTATAAATATATACTATTTTTGTGGGATTAAAACAAACTATAATTTGTTCTAATTCTGAATGAATTTCCCGCTGCTCTGTTGTGATGCTAGATAGTGTGAAACCCACATGACTTTGTTTTTGGGAGATTTATCTGCGTTTTGTACACACAGTGTTACTAAGTGAGTAAAGGGGAGCCCCCTATATTTTTCCCCTCCTTTGCAGAAATCAAGATTTTCAACCAACTGAAACAGTGTTAACCTGGCCACGCTTGTACCGCAAGAAATTGTTCAAAACAAAATAGAGATATTCTGTAGTGTCTCTTTATTTTCTTGCTCCTTCTCAATGCAAATAAGCTTTTACCGCGAATGAGTGCTATAAATATCTTGTGGTGATGGAGAGGAAGGCAAAGGCGTTAAAGGATGAAATCTGTGATAAAATATATGCAGACTGATGTTTACTCGATGTACATATCTCGAGTGAAGTATCTCCTCAGAGCACAAATAAAAGCACTTCATTTACTATTGTTAAAGGTACAATTAGTGTAATCTTTTGCAACCGTTGCATTAAAAAATATATTTTCCACAGCAACCATGAGGTACCCAAAGCCAGCAAAGAGCGAGTTAAAGACTGCCAACACTGCAGTACAAGCCTCCTTGGTGCTCCAGTGCTGCGGGAGTCAGCCTCCACACCATCAGGTAATATGATAATAACAGAAAACATACAACACATTGAACATACTAGTATTACTATCCAGTACGATCAAGGCTGTACCAGTGCTTATCCCGTGTAAAACCAATCAATTTGACACGATAGTAAGACTTCTTCTTGTCATGACCCCTAACCTCGGCAGACTTCAGCTACGTAGCTACGCAATGGAAAGTGCTAAAGAGAGTTGTGGTTTTGAGAGCACGGTGCAGAAGGAGCAGGAGTGTGGTTACTAGATAGGGCTAGATGTACGCAGTACAGTATGCACTGCATTGCAACAGTGGTTTGTCCTAAAAATCATACATATTGATGTATTATAATAAATAACTATAATATGTAAAAACAACAGTATGTGTGTGTGTGTGTGTGTGTGTGTGTGTGTGTGTGTGTGTGTGTGTGTACAAATGCAAGTATGGTAGTTTATCTGCTTAACATGTTTTATCTGATCTCTTCAAGTATAAACATACTTGAAGAGATTAAGCTATGGTAAAACTGTGCTTTACAAGTCACAATGCAGTTAGCAGTGTCATAATTTAGGAAAAGTTCTGTAAAAATATTACTCAAGCACTAATTTAATTTATCCCTCTAATATCTAAATATAAAACAGCACAACAAAAAATACAAATAAAACATTTCAGCACCTGCCTTCATTGTTGCTTTCAGCTGTTTGATTGATTTGATTTTGCTTTCCCCTGAAATTATAGTACTGTATGTTAATAAGGCCAATCGACATTAAAGCAGTACCTATAAATCATGTTAGGTCTTTTGAAGTGACAACTGAAGAGAAATATTGGACAGGAAGCATGCTAATGACAGCAGGTCTCAGTAGGTTGTGTTTAGAGTGGTGAGTTTTCAATTGTTGTGGTTTATTCTCTCAATTTCTCCTACTACAGTACACCCCCTTCTACTTTCAGCATCCTGTCTATACTATGAGGCCCAGGTTTTCACATATGAAAAACCCCAAAGAATTACTGAAGTTACTGAAAGGCTTCAGAGTTGCAACTTTAACCTCAAAATCACACCTCATTTTAAAAGACTCTCTAGCATACGTGGCTGCAGACGAGACACATGTGCAGAGTGACAGGAAAGTAAGCTTGTACAAACTGAATTTATTGTCTTGCAACAGGATGCTGACCAAAATAGAGTTGTGCCTCTGAAAGTGACTGAAAAACGTATGCGACTAATATATTATTCTAAAGCTTGTGCATAAGCTGTACCTTTTTTACTGGAGTTATGATTAATTGTAATCATGTCAAGGAGGTCAGGGAGAATTATAGTCCTGACTGCTATTGTTGATTTAAGCAGGATTGAAAAAAAAATTAATCTGCTGCCTATTTAATCAGTCAATCCATTAATGGTTTGATCCATAAAATGTTAGAAAATATAGAAAAGTACAGAGCCCAAGGTGATTTTATCCCATGTGCAATGGGTAATATTAGACTGAAATGTATGTAACAAGTTAATCAGCGCTTTGTCCAGGTAATCAATAGGCCTCTTGATGTTTGGTTTAATCTAATATTGCCATTAATTAAACTGAGCCACGTAGCTTAGCATTTAGCAGCCCTTAATCATAGTTATTACACACAGAAAAAGTTTTTCAAGGTTCAAGTTACAGCATTAAACATATGTTTTTTTAGTATGACCTTGAAACAAAGGGCCATGATTAAAATATAAGGGAGGATTAATGTTAGCATTATAACATGGTAATTACAGATAATTTTCGTGTAATTTTAAAGGTATTTTGCTAAAAGTAACGTAATATTTTGAAACATAGCGTAACCATATTACCTCATAATCAGGTTATTATCCCATTACGGTCACAGTATCACCAATTTCTTATACAACCATTTTATTATTAGGTGGTTTCCATATTGACACCAATAATACTATTACTAAATAGTTTTACCTTGTTGCCTCGTAACCTTTTATTTTTGGCCCATTTTACCGTTATATGAATTTCAGTTTAATATTACCCAAAAATACCCATTTTTAATACCTAACTATCATCTGATGAATGGTATTACCTTGTATTACTTAATTATTACCGTTTTATTATCAAACCATTACCCCCACTTGTATCCTGTTATTACCAAGCTGTAACGTAAAGTCCTACCTAAATATCTTCTCCAATCAAACCAACAAGGTTCCAAACCTAAAGATGTTCAATTTGTAATGATATAAAAGCAGAACGGCACCACTTGAGAGGCTGAAACTAACGATCAATCGATTAACAAATAATTTGGAGATTCATTGAATGAATAAAGTTCCCTTTATTGCAAGTAAATGGTCATTTTGGTTGCTTGTATATCTCATTGCGCTTTAATGTGTTTGTCTATAAGGACTTAAGTATTACAATAAACATAAACAATTTCAACTTAACAAGAGCAAAAGAAAAGCTCAGACAATATTAAGTGCAGTATTAATTAACCCAATCATTACTGTGTTTAATATAAAGTGTCTCTACAACACCTTTACAGGACTGTTGACTGTTGCAGAAAATGAAACCACACCTTTCAATTGTCATAGTGTATTTGTGGACAGCCAGGCCACTCATTACCCACCACAATGTTCACACCTTTGTCTGTTTTTCCTCATCTCGTTGTTTGCACAGGTGAGGCCTGTGCAGAGTATCGGTTCTGTGGAAAAGCAGATGTGCTGCAGCATGAACCCCAATCCCATCAACAAGAACCCAGAGGAGAAAAACCCTACCAGTGCCAATACTGTCCCAAGAAGTTTAGTCTGAAACATCAACTGGACACACACCACCGAATTCACACTGGTAAGCACACTGTTTAACTGGCAGAACAAGACGAAAGGTGCTTTGTCCGATGAAGCAAATATAACTAAGTAGCATGTATAGCTATTTTTAGAAAAAAAACTCAGTGACTTATGGTGCTGTTGAGCACTCACTGGTTAGATACAAAACGGATCTAAGACTACTAAGACTGCCTACCCACAACATGGCTAATTATCTTTGTTTTATATTGTGGGACATTAGAGCAAAACAAGAATTCAAACATATTTACTTTTGTCACGTTACAAAGTTAAGTCAGATAAACTGGACTATCGGGTTATAAAACAGTTATGTTCAATTACAGTAATTAAGTACTTTGGCATTAAAAAGCTAATGGCATTAAATGACTGAAACAACAACAGTAACAACAGATTGGTCTGAGGGAGCCAGACAGATCAGAGACAGGTCTGTTGTTAGCATGGCAAGTTACTGGAGAAGGGAGCATTTATGATCAATTTACATTTTCATTGGCTCAAAGACAAAAGTATATGTACCTCTTTTAGGTGCTTTTTCGTAGCCGATATGATTTTTAGCTTATTGGACTGTGCCATCACTTTTGCATGTTTTAGAACATTTGCTATGAAATATTACTGATAAACATTTTCCAAAGCAGACTGTTGTGTTCTGGGTTTTATATTTTGTACCAACTTCCAGGCAGGTTTCTACTCATTTAAATACTATGAAACACACCTTACAGGAACTTGCAGAATAGAAACTTGTGTGTAAATCCACGATGAACTTTTAGAGCTATTGAGATTATTTCTGTAGTGCAATGCAATTCAAAGTGTGTGCTTGCAACATTATTAATGATAGGTTTGACAAAAGTAACATAAGGCAGAATATTCCCTGTGATAACTACCCTTGTCAAGCACTTTGCTCTGCAAATTGGATATTGCGCAAAGTGTAGCATAAGAACTGAAACACTGGAAAACAATGGAGTGGCGACAATATAAAGTCTATAAGATAATTAGCTGTAAATTGGTTGAAACATGCAAAACCACATGCATATACGGTGCTAAAATTAATACACATGCTAACCTGCTAAACAAAAAAGAATGGGTTAGCATTTAAGATGAAATCTCATTCTATGCTTGAATATTAACTTGTCCTAAAACTGAAAGATGCAATCCATACCATGTTGCATCTTCAACAACTTAATTTCCCTCTCTCTCTTATACACACACACACACACACACACACACACACACACACACACACACACACGTGAACAGTATACAGTATGTATATGCATAACTGTTCTGATCTTAAACAAATCTGGGTGATTTGTTTAAAAGTGACACAATTTAGATGATTTGCCTGTAAATAGGCAAAAAAGATTTGACTGGATCAATTGAATTTAAGTAATATAGCAGAATATATTAAATTAACACTATATAACACTGGCAAGAAATATATCTGTCATGCCTAAAGGTTCAAGGCCTTCATTTCACGTGAGCACACTTGTCTTTCCTTCCATTGTCTTCCTTCCTGTGCCCCCCTTTTCTATCCTCTCTCGGCTTCAAGGAGAGAAACCCTTTGAGTGCCGTATCTGTCGTCAGCGCTCACGGGACTACTCAGCCATGATCAAGCACCTGCGGACTCACGGTGGGGCCACGCCCTACCAGTGCACAGTGTGCCGGGAGTTCTGCAATAGCCTGGTCGCCATGCAGAGACACGTCAAGAGCCACGCAGTACAGGACTTCCCTCCTGATTGGAGCATCAACAGCACCTACCTGTACAACTCACACATCTGAGGCTCACAACACAAAGTTCTCATTCAGTTTGTGCCTTTCATGTACTGTCATTATATTTAAAGAACAGAGGTAAACCTTTGTTTTTCCTGAAGGATAAATCACAGATGATGTTTGAAAAACCAAGAAGGTCCTTTACTGACATTTACCACTGTTTTAGAGGGCTATCACAGGTGTTGCAATGACGTCGATGCAAAGTGAAACTGCTGTGTGTTCACATTCACAACTATAGAACGGAGGAAAAGCAGCATTAATTTCCAATGACAGAAAATATTCTGAAAGTGTTTACCATTTCACATTGGGTCATGTATGGGGCATTAAGGCCACATCAACAGTTCCTCCTCGACAAATGACAAAGACACCTTCCCTCTTACTTTCTTAATTAATTATTGGACTGCTTGTGTAAACTTTGTAAGTTGGACGTAGGTTTGAAGCGCCCTCATGAGGGCAAACACTGTAACAATCAGTTGTTGTTTTTTTCTGTAATAGTTCTCACAAATCCATTACCGTGTCAAGATGAGACCAGTGGCTGAGTTATTATGTTTAGGGCCGGACAAAAGAGTATTTTTACTAAGTGCTGGAACATATAAACAGTAAACATTCAACGATTCAGATTTAGACCAAATCAGTCTGAAACAAATACTATATCTATACTTACTTATATGCATTCCCACTTCAATTCAAATTCAAATGTATCCATTGCTTCCTTTGAAACAGGGACATTGTTCTTATCCTGTGTTATTTTACTCTCAGAGAAAATCAGAAAGAGAAGGATGAAAGAGTTTTCTCCAGTGTCAGTCAACACAACCTTGAGACTTGACATAGTTTGAGACAAAAATCTGCCAAATCCCATATACGGTAACATTAAAACATCTAAGGAGGACTGTATGAATGCCGTGGGCGACTTTAAGTGTCACTGGACAGCTCAAACTGCTCTGGTTCATTGAGATAAGAATAGCAGAGCTCATGCAGGCAGTCATGTCTGTTGTAGTTACAAACATTAGTCCAGCTTTTTCTTCTGCCTTATTCACTTGTTGCAGTTCAAAAGTATGGATATGCTGAGTAAGTACCTCTTTAAACGCACCACACAAGTTATATGACCGTGAAATTATGCCAGAGGTCCTCATGTAGTATGTATTGTATGCATTGTGCAACCATGCCTATTGCTTCATAGAGGAAGCTTTCAGGCCACTGAAAGCTATTTGTTGATTTGTACTGCGTTATCTTATTAAGAAAAAAAGTGCCACTTATCTCCTCACCAGGAGAGTTAGTATTTAAGTCCTGGTTTATAGTGCAGTCTGTGTTGGATCCCTGGTTTGGTTCTGTTCAGTTTTGCCTTGTCTGTGCAAACTGTAAATAAAGATTACTTTCTTCAAGTTCCTGTGGCCTGCAGTCTGCTACATTTGTTACCATCTGCATCTGGTTTCGGGTTCACTATTATTTCATTCTGCAGACTACCTCAATGAGGAAACAGATATCAGAAAAGGTTTGCAGCAATTTAGAGGGCGGGTTGAACACAGAGTAAAAGCAGTCATCCTGGAAGTGCACATATTGTCGAATGTAGCGAGCTAACGTTAGCTAACCTAAGTTTTAGCCTCCTAAACCTGTAAAGATGAGTTTCTGTAATGTTAACTCGACATTTGTTTTAAATCAATGACATATACAAGACTTTCCAAACAAACTGCTCACAGTGAATCCACATTAATTAGATACAGTTTATAATCATAGCAACCAGTTCATTTGTCGATTAATTTCAACTCGAGCGCACCGGGGGCAGTAGCGCATATCACAACATTTGCCAGATAAGGGCAACATGCTATTATTTAAACACGTGGCAACATATTCATCCTGCATACACACATAACAGGAAGAAGCTCTTCTAAAAGATCATCAGCCAAGTATCAGCAAGGCATAGAGGAGAATTAGATAGTTCTTTGAAAATGTTGGTGTTTTTTCTCCATTTCAGGTGTTCCTACTTCTCTCTGACACAGCCTTTAAAGCATTGTCATTTTAACTTTCCTCTTGTATTACTGTCACCTATTGCACCGCATTGTTTCAGCTCTTTGTTTTTGTGTTAACTCCTGTTGCTGTATGGAGGGCAAAGTACTACAACATTGGAAAAAGCAGGACAAAACAGAAACACAAAAGCAGTTCAGAAAACCAAACATTTCAGGAGAAACAACATTAACGAAAAGCAATTCAAAATACACACACACACACACACAAAAGACGTTTGACCAACTGAAAGTGAGCTTATTACAGTTCAGCGTGGCAGTTCTACAGGGATAATCAGGCTGCTGCAGGCATTCCAATTGTTTGTGTTGGAAACCCTATAAAGCCTTGTAATTGAGCGAGACATCAAATACAAACGTACGTGTAAACTGTGGAGAAATTACATGTTGTCCGTTATGTGAGAACACGGACGCGAGTCACATCCAGCTGTGCTGTTTTGTTTTTGTTTTTGGACGCACGTAGGAAACCACTGGATAATGCAACTTTCTGATACAGGTCCCTCTCACAATGCGAGATTTCTAGAAAGCGTATTTGTCCAGTTTTATTAAATGATCTAACTGTACAGTGGTGAATGTGTCTTTGACGGGCCTAGCTTTAGTTAATCCTTGGTTAACCATTTTCTCATCTTGTTGTAGTTGTATGTTGCAGACTGTAGTTTCTTGAGCTTAGCAATATTTTGAATGTAGTTTATTATGTGTCGCTTATTTGTGTTAGTCAGCTGCTCCTCTCATCTATACAGGAAAGTGTGCAACGGTTATCCAAACCTATATGCTATAATTAACCCTAATTTATCCCTTAACAAGTAAAAGAAAAAAAGAAGCACCTGAAAAAGGTTATGATAATCATCATAACTTACAACAAAGGTGCAAGAATGGAAGCATTTCAACAGCTGGGCCAGCGGTTTGCAGCTAACAGTGCTAACAGCGCTAGCAGTACAAACATGTTGACAGAGTTAACAATGTTTACCTGAGGGGGAATCGAGCCATTTAGCAGCCATGAGCTAGCCATGGGGCACGCTCACATGCACAAACATGTACTAAAAGCATGCGCTGCTGGAAACAATGCAAGGAGAAGCTCGAATTACAAAACACTTCATTCTCAGCTAAAGTAGATATTACTCCACTATCTTCATAGCAAATAGTTGTTTGCTGCTATATTGATGCTCTGAATCCCTTATGATGCACCTCGAAACAAATATTTAGACAAAATAAAAAGGATTGTTCTGAGATACTCTACTGAAAGCTTGAGTTCCCCGAAATAAGTGAGCAGACGACTGATATGTCTGCGAATGAGTAAACTGACATTTAAAGGTCAGCCCACAAACAGTCTTGCTTTGAGCTAAACATGAACGTCAGCATGCAACATGCTCACAATGACTCATGCTAACATGCCGATGTTAAGCAGGTGTGATGTTTATGCCATGTTCGCCATCTTACTTTAGCGTGCAAACATTTGCTAATTAGCAATAGAGCAAAGGCTGACACATTTGAATTTTTTGACCTGATGACGGTGCTAGAAGAAAAGTCAGGGGCTCACCAAAGATATTAAATATTTTAGTCTGGACTAAAGTGGTGAACATAGCCCTGCATCGCTAACGCCAGGGCTATGTCAAGGAAACAGATTTGAAACAAAAACACTAAGCACGATTTGCTAATTGCAGGAATGTGGAACGTGACACCTGGTATAAAGACGAACTGGCAGAGGGGACCACAAATACACCTGAAAGGACAGGACAATGAGGGACAGGTGAAACTAATAAAGACATTTCAGACTATAGCTGTGTCTCAATTCAGGGTCTGCATCCTTCAGAGGCTGCATTCGTAGACCGGTTGCGTGACAGCGCTGTGACTAGTGCTGTCCCATTTCGCATTTTTGTTGAAGAGTCCTTCAATGCAGCCGACGAATGCAGCCTTCTGGTCCCAGATTTGGAGGACACATCTGATGTATCCTTCGCGGCCCACCATATCCCAAGATGCATTGCGTGCCGGTGTACTATTACCGGCAGCTCGGCTGCCTGCATCCGACCGTAGTAAGCCTTGTAAAGTAACTTTTAATAACTTCACTTTCAAACCTCAGAGGTTGAATAATATCTTACTAAGTTTGTGATGATTTTACAGATGATTTATACTTTATATCATGTACATAAACGGACCAACGTGAGCTCAGGTAGACAGGTTCTGAACCTGAAATATCACTTTAAGTCTGGTAACGTTTCAAACGTTGAGATTAACTACACGAATACACTGAATTTGAGTATTTTACTGATTCTGTTCTTGTTTTGTTACAGAGAGCCCGGAGCTGAGGGGAGAACGATGGACAAACATTCAGCAACCATGGCTTGAATTAAGACATTAGTCCATTTGTAATATCTCCATTTGACCATCCTGTAATTAAGGTTACAGTTACATTAGCTCTCATCCTGTACAAAGCCTTTACTAATAAGACAACCAGTAGATCCTTCTGATGTCTTAATGTTGCTATCACAGAGATGACAGTTGTGATGTCACCTTTTTATTTTATTTATTTAAATTGACATAAGACATCCATGTAAATGATTTCTATGTGAATATGTATATATTCTGCAGTAACATGTGTTACTGCAAGTAAATAAACACGTTTGCTGATTGAACTGATTGAAAATTTGTTATTAGTAACTGATTTAATTAACTGATTATTAATATAGAAAAACAACATTATGAAAAAGATCTATGAATTAATTATTGAATATATGATTAAAAAAAACTGATTAAAACACTAAACTGAAACTTTTCCAGTATATATACTGAATAGGTTTTAGTTTAATGTATTTATATGTATATATATTTATAATCCTGTTGAGCAGGGATTTTAGGGACGGGAGCAGCAAGAGGGGGGAGGGGCGGGAACAGCTGTTGACGCAAACAGGAAGTCCTCTGTAGCGTCATTTCGTAGACCGCACGGTCTAGCCTACGCGGTCCTCAAATGACGTGGCCCACGTAGACCGCGAAGGCTGGGTCCTCCGAAGGATGCAGCCCCTGAATTGAGACACAGTTTATATTAAAACAGTCAGGAAACACAACGGCAGGAAGTGAAGTTATCTGAAATGAGAGGAGGGTGCATCAAAATAAAACAGCAAACAATGAACGAATGACAAAACATAAAATAAGGAGTAGGGCGGGATACCACAATCTCAGGCTCTGCTGCCCAGATTTTAATCACTTCTTTTGTTTGTTTCTTAATTCTGACCCTTATGAGTCCCCCCACTTTATGGATGTGCAATACCATATCACTGAGCTAATGACTCCTACCTTAAGATTGACGCAGGTTAAGCTACAAATTAAAATCATTTTACATAGTTAATAATAATAGATTTTCCAATTACTTATTGACGAAAGTAATTATAAAAACGTATTCATATATTTCAATGGAGCCTGTTATATTACGTTTTAGGAACAAATTGTACTCACCCATCACTGTCTTGAGGTCATTGCAATATGCATGCAGCACGCCACTGTCTCACAGCTCCATATGCTATTATTGTTTTAGTTAAGTTAATTACAACACATCCTTTATATGTTGGAGACAAAGACCATTCATTTCCCCTGCTCCTCTCACCAAATTCTGAATTTGGGATTTTAATTTCACCATTAGGGTGCCAAAACAGACCATACCATTACAGAGACAATGCAATCGATGGTCTGTATGAATATGTTGATATAGAATAAGACTGGTTTGTCATTGCGAGGATATAGATGTAGATTGAGTGCATTTTTTTATTTCTAGTTCCCTTTGGTGAGACATTGTGGTTGGTCACATTTGTTGATGTCATCTGATGTCTATAAGAAAAGGTTACATTTGTTGCCTGGCTTGCGTCCCTGGGTGACAAACTCCTCTGCGTTTTGCCCACATTAACAATATTTGGTAACATTTAAACTATATTTACGTACACTGGATGCTGACAGTATGAGGTGACTCAAGGGAAGCGAGAAAAAATAGTCATTGTGGCTAGTATTTGATAGGGCAAAGAACTTTTATTTCCCCTTAGCTGCATGCTACCAGCCATTCATCAGATGGTTTAGTGGATGAACAATGAACCAAATAACTGACCTTGTAAATCTTAAAATACATAAACGTACCATTTGTTGCAGTTTTCATAAGAGAGGCCTGATTTCTATGTACTTTAACTGAGAATATCCACAAAAAAAACATCTAAACTTTCAACAAAGCAATCGGCCTAATGTCCAGCCTCACGTTCAGAATCTTTAACCGATCAGATATATGCTAGTTACCACCATGATTAACTCTATGGATGTGCAGTCAGACACAATAGGCCCTTTTCACATGTCATAGCAAGGGAAACACAAGCCTAATTGATATAAGAATAATGGTCCCATTCTATTTAGTGTGTCACAGCCAGTGATCCAGCAGTGCACAATAACTGGAACAAGGCCATAATTGATGTTTTTAACTACACATCCCCACATGTCA